GCAAGGAAGGAGGTTAACATTGGGTTGTGTGGAGGGAACGACGGGATCCTCAGACCTATAGATGTGTTACTTTATTCCTAGGATCGTGGTCGCAATGTCTGTGTTGACTTGACAAGGTCTTCACCTTTGACACAATATGGGCTATCTGACTTTGTTCTTGGAAAGGTTGTGGCTGATGCGACACATCGAAAGCGAATCAAGTATGAATCTAGTTGTCAGGCACTTGGATATGGTTTCCTTTCCTTCTCTTTTTTTTCAATTAGGGAATTAGAGAAAGATGTTGTTGCGTTGCTGAAGCGAATTCAGAAGTTTTCGACGACTCAGGACATTGGGCGCCTGCTGCTGCTCATATTTTCACTAGGATAAGTTTTGCTATAGCTAGAGGAATAAGGGTCCAGATTATATCTCGGTTTCCCACTAATTTTGTGCGTTGTTTGACTTTGTCTGTTTATTATATAATAATAATTGTTGTGCGACAACGGAAGCAAAGATCGTAAACAATAAAGAAACAACAAAAATAAAAGATACTTGGGCTCCAAGAAAATAAGATAACTCTAACTTCCCGCAAAACCGCAAGAAGCGACGTCGTTTGAGTCACCCAATCATCAACAATCTCCACCTTGACGAGAACTCGTAGTAAGCACGACGATTCTATTAACACACAGTGAAAAAACATCTCAAGCCGACCCTGATGCAAAGCTCATGCATAAGCCATACATCCCGATAAGTCTCCAACCAAGACCCATCACATACTCGTCTCCAAGTATAACAACTCATAATGCTCCACCTGCATCACAAGCCCCGGGTAAGCTCCACCTTAAGACCAACATGCCTACACCAGGAGCTCCCCAACACCGCCCCTAAGGGCATACTACATCACATAGTAATCAATATTTAGCAAGTCCAAGCAATGTTTAAACATACTAAATGGAACAGGCTTAGTGAAGAAATTAGCCGGGTTGTCAGCAGTCCCAATCTTCATCACCTTAACCCTCTTGTCAGTACGTAAGAAATGATACCTGACATCAATGTGCTTGGTCCGATCATGGTGCACTTGATCTCTAGCTAAGCAAATGGCACTTAGACTATCACAATACACCGTAGCAAAATCCTGTGCAATACCCAATTCACCTACAAGGCCTTTGAGCCAAATAAACTCCTGAGCTGCAGAAGTTAAAGCCATGTACTCAGCTTAGTATGTAGTAGACAACGTAACCGAAGACTGCAATGTAGACTTCCAACTAACCACAGAACCACCCAAAATGAACACATACCCAGTCACATACCTCCTAGTATCCACATCAGCTGCATAATCAGAATCACTATACCTAGTCACCAAGCACTCCTTACCATTTCCATACACAAGACTAATATCAGTTTTCCCTCTCAAATAGCGAAAAATCCTTTTCACCCCCTGCCAGTGTTCCCTCCCAATTCGAGCCATAAACTTGCTTACAACACTAATAGCGTGCGCAATATCTGGCCTACTACAGACCATAGCATACATCAAACAGCCAACTGCGTTGGCATATGGAACTCTAGACATATAAGACAACTCCTCCTCAGTTTAAGGTGACATAGACAAAGACAACTTACAGCTCACAGTAGTTGGCGTACTTATAGGCTTTGATTTTTCCATCCCAAACCGAGACAAAATCCTTTCAATGTAGCTTTTCTGAGTGAAGAAAAGCTTACCTCTAGCCCGATCCCGGTAGATCTCCATACCCAATATTTTCCTAGCTGCACCCAAGTCTTTCATGTCAAACTCCGAGTTAAGCATCTCCTTTAATTAGCAATATCAGATTTATTCCTTGTGGCAACCAGCATGTCATCAACATATAACAATAGATAAATCATGGAACCATCATCCAGCTTACTATGATACACACAACAATCATATGAATTCCTATCAAAACCATGCGAAACCATAAAAGAATCAAACCTCTTGTACCACTGTCGGGGGGATTGCTTAAGTCTATACAATGACTTTAGCAATCTGCAGGCATAGTGTTCCTTTCCAGGAACCTCGAATCCCTCGGGCTGCTTCATCAGAATCTCCTCCTCCAAATCACCATGAAGGAAAGTCGTTTTAACATCCAGCTGCTCCAGCTCAAGATCAAAGTGTGCTACAATAGACAATAACACACGGATATAGGTGTGTCGAACCACAGGTGAGAATATCTCCACAAAATCAACCCCTTCTACCTGACTGAACCCTTAGCAACTAGCCTAGCCTTAAAACGCACTTTCTCATTTTCTGATAACCCTTCTTTCTTCTTGTAAATCCACTTACACCCCACAAGCTTCCTCCCTTCCGGTACCTTTACCAGTTCTCACACTCTGTTCTTGTAAAGTGACTGCATCTCTTCACCCATTGCAGCAAGCCATTGCGCCGACTCACTACAACTAATTGATTGTTTATATGTGGCAGGTTCAAATGACTCTACATCATCAGCTACACTCAATGCATATAACCTGTCAACTCATCAACATAGCAATTCCTTCCCTCCATCACTTCAATCAACTAACAGGCTTCTTGATAATTTGTTTAGGCATCTCAAGAATGGTGTTAGGTTGACTAGATGACCCCTGATTAGATTGCTCCACCTCCTCCCCAAAGTTAGGATGAGTAGGAGTAACCTCAGGTTCAGGAGTACCTGGCAGCGGAACATCAGCATCATCATCAATATATTGTACCCAAGGTAAATCAACAATGGTAGATTGATGCACCTCAAGAACCCCATCTATCTATAATAAGTTCTCCCCTTCCCTTCCCAAATCATAAGTCTCCTTGTTCTTAATTGAATACATGGTACTCTCATCGAAAGTAACATCCCTACTAAGAATGACCCGACCCTCCGAAGGTGAATAGATCCTAAACCCCTTCACACCATCCCCGTACCTAACAAAACACCCCCTTTTGGCTCGTGGATCCAGCTTACCCTCACTAACATGATAATAAGCAACACAACCAAAAATCTTCAAATTTGAAAAATTAAGCAACTTACCACTCCAGATCTCAAAAGGAATCTTGAAGTCAATTCCCGAATGAGGACCCCTATTAATGACATAACAAGCTGTCAGCACAGCTTCACTCCAGTACCTCCTCCCAAGACCTGCATTAGAGAGCATGCATCGAACTCTCTCTAGCAGTGTTTGATTTACCCGCTCTGCAACACCGTTCTGCTGTGGTGTCTTCCTAACGGTATGATGCTGACCTATACCCTCATCTGCACAGAACTGATTAAACTCCTCTTTGCAAAACTCTAGCCTATTGTCCGTTCGTAGCTTCTTTATCTTCTTATCCTGTCGATTCTCCACCAAAGCTTTCCATTGCTCGAAAGCTTTTAAGGCCTCATCCTTTGACTTAAGCAACCTAAGCCATGTGTATCAGGACTTGTCATCAACAAATGACACAAAATAGCGGTAACCTCCCATACCTTCAACTCTAGATGGACCCCAGCAATCTGAATGGATGTAATCGAGCACAACATCAGTAATGTGAGCACCCCTACTGAACTTTGACATGTGTTTCTTACCAAACACACAATGCTCACAAAATTCAAGATTGGCAACCTTGACTCCGAATAAAAAACCCCTCTTAGACAATAGTTGTATCCCCTTCTCCCCCATATGACCAAGCCTCATGTGCCAAATCTTAGTCATCTCCTGGTGAGACATCGATGCACAAACCGCAGAACTAGACAGTGTAACACCCTCAAAGACATAGAGAGTGTTCCTTTTGATACCCTTAAGTACCAACTCAGAACCTCTGTAAATGCCCAACTCCCCATCCGAAAACACACCATTGTACCCCAAATCATCCAGGGTACCCAATGAAATCAGATTCTTTCTTAAAGCAGGAACATGTCGCACCCTAGTCAAAGTCAACCTCCGCCCATTGACGGTCCTCAATCTCATGACCCAATACCGGTAACCTTACAAGGGGCATTGTTACCAACTATAACCGTACCCCTATTCCAAGACTCATATGTATCAAACCAATCTCGACGTGGACTCATATAGTACGAACACCCCGAATCTAGAATCCAGTTATCAAGTAGATCGTCATACCTAGCGGAACTGACTAATGCTAAGTCTTCCTCTGAATTATAGCTCTCTTTCGGTTTTTCCTCGACTACAGCAGCTTGGGACTTGTTTTTCCTCACTAGACAATTAGCCCTATAGTGACTCGGTTCTTTACAGTAATAACAGGTTTTAGTAGCAGTTTTACTAGATCCATGCATGCCGTTACCAGCACCCGACCCAGCATTGTTCCCCTTGTTAAACCCCTTTTTCTTTTTAGACTTCCCGGACTTAACAAACAACCCACTACCATTATCCCCATTATCACCTATAGCTTTCTGACAAAGTTTTCTAGTATGAAGTGTTGCCTTCACTTCTTCTAAGGTCAGTGAGTCTTTACCAACAACAAAGGACTCTACAAAATTCTCAAAGCTCGACGGTAGAGACACAAGTAATATCAACGCAGCATCCTCATCATCAATTTTAACATCTAAGTTACGCAAATCAAGTAAAATAGAGTTAAGTTTTTCTAGATGTTCCCGTAAGGAAGTACCTGACTGCATTCGGAGGCTAAACAACCGCTGCTTCAGTAATAATCTGTTGGTCAACGACTTAGTCATATACAATGACTCCAGCTTCATCCACAATTCAACCGCTGTTCCTTGATTAGCAACCTCCGTGATGATATGATCATCAAGACTAAGTAATATGGTAGAGTGAGCCTTCTCTTCCATAACTTCTAATTCCAAGTCAGTCAGTCCGTCTCCTGACCTCGAAGTACTCTTTGGAGCAAACGGACGTCTTTTGGCTGTTATTTTAACAGAGCCTTCATCTTAATTTGCTATAGCCCAAAACTATTTTTTCCCGGTAAACTTCTCAATTCTTATTGTTGAATTTCCTGCCATTGTTTCCCAAGAATTCTCCAAGGATTGAACCTGAGCTCTGATACCAATTGTTGTGCGACAACGAAAGCAAAGATCGTAAACAATAAAGAAACAATAAAGAAAATTCAATGCAAACAATAAGAACCACACACCAAGAATTAACGTGGTTCACTATCAATGTGATAGCTACATCCACCGGCACCGAGATCAAAATTTCACTATAAACCGCAAAGAATTACAAAGATGAATCAAGTGTTCTCCTCAAGAACGGCTCACTTTGTTTTGTACTCTCTGTATTTCTCGCTTCAAACCCTAGCACTAATAGAAGGAAGTTTATATAGTAATCCCTAAATAAAAGAAACTTGGGCTCCAAGAAAATAAGATAACTCTAACTTCCCGCAAAACCGCAAGAAGCGACGTCGTTCGAGTCACCCAATCATCAACAATAATAATAATAATTAATTTAAATTTAATTCAATTAAATTCAATTTAGTTTAGATTACTTCAAACAAAAAGAATAAAAGAAAGCCTCCAAGCAAGCAAAACAACAAGTTCAATATCGTGAAAGTTATGTAGAACAGTACTACAAGGGTAACTTAGGAAATCACAAAAGTAAATAAATATGGACTATATTTTTTACAAAAAATAATTAAAAAAAAAAAAGAGGGTCCCACCCAACAAAATTTGAAAGCAGGTGGCCGTTTGAATCCCACCTCCCCAAAAAAGCATCCCAAAATTTAAAAAAAATAAAACCAACAAAACCAAACTCCCCATTTCAAATCCCACTCTCTCTCTCCCACAACAACAACAACACAAACAAAGTTGTCAAAAACACAATAGCATGACTGGCCTTATAATGGTCACAAAAGGCGGAGGTTGCGGCGGAGGCGGTGGCGGTGGCGGTACAAAGAGTCCTGCCCCAACAAAATCAGGTTCATGTTCGTCTACTGATGAGCAGAGTCAGCTATCATTACTTGCATTTCTCATATCCGCGCTTCGAAAGTCCATGGTTTCGTGTCGCGTAGATCGAACTGAAGAAGTTATTTCAGCAGTTCATACAATGGATATTGGTTGGCCTACTAATGTTCAGCATATTACTCATGTTACTTTTGATCGTTTTCATGGTTTTCTTGGTCTTCCTGTTGAATTTGAAGTTGAAATCCCTCGTAAAGTTCCAAGTGCTAGGTAAATTTTTTGATTAATTTTTTTCTTTTCATGGTCTTGAATTTGTGTTTATGGATCTGGGTTTTTCATTTTTTGTTCAATGGGTTTGAATTTGAGTTTAATTTGGTTGAATAAGTGCAGGATTTTCATGTGATTTCATTAATTGAATGTAAAAAATGAGGCTCTAATTTTTAAGTCTGAATGAGTTGTTGTTGCGCTCTCTTCATTTATGACTTTTAATTAAATCACTGGCCCCTCTTATTTTTGTCAAATTTCAAAATTTTAACTACTCTCTTTAATTGGAATGCAATTTGTTACTCTGTAGTAAAGTTCTTTTTGTTTCTTTTCGTAAGGGTTGTTTTCGCTGGTAAAAGACGATTAAATAGATTTAAACCCGTGCGATACACATAATACTTGTATGTAGATTCGGACACTTTTAGTTCACTTGTTAGGAAGAATTACCCCTTATAGTGTAAGTGTACTAGGTTTGACTACCTTTAATTTCGCCAAGAAACGTAATTTTCGTGTTTAGCTTTAATCCGAAATTGGTGGTTTGGATTGGAGGAGAAAGGGTAAAATATTCAGCTTTCTTCAAGTTAGGCTTATCATAAAATATATATTGATAACTTAGAATGTAGTTTGCTTCAATTGTTCAATTGCTCTATCTTGGCATACTTATAATTATTATTATAGGAAGGTATATCTATATTCATCTTTCCAATAAAGGGTTTTGTTATTGGGCTGCTACGTTATGTTATAATCATGTGTTACATTTACCAATTTGGTATCAAGGGAGAACTTATGACAAAATCACGCGTCAATTGGTGTTATAAAATGTTCAACAATTATATATTAAGATTCTTCTATGCGGAATTTGGGACTAGTTTTAACAGTTTACAGTTATCTGAACTTTAATTAAAAATCATGTACTGTATGTTCCTTCATTTCAATTTTTAGTTTTGAAAATTTATGACAAAATCACGTATTGATTGATTGGAGTAGTACTGGGATTGAGTGATACGATGAGGTTTCACGATTGTTACTTGGAGCAATATAAGAAATACTACTATGATCATGAGTGTCATATGGCACAATGCTTTAACTAAGTTTTCATATGTTGTAGTCCATTCAAGCCTTAAGTTTCTTATGATTTTGTCGAATTTTGCATTCAGTAAACGAAATATTTTTACATTCTGATGTGCCTGACATTTGATCTGGTTTGATGTTTCTTTAATGTAATGTTGACTTGATAATGAATCTATATCTTTGCAGTGTGAGCGTGTTTGGTGTTTCAGCAGAATCAATGAAATGTGCGTATGATACCAAAGGAAATAGTGTCCCTTTCATACTTTTGCTAATGCAAGAGAGGCTGTACTCACAAGGTGGTCTTAAGGTATGAATTTGCACTGTGCTTATTAGCTACAACTCTTACAAGTGCAAAAAAATAGAAGAAGGAAATTAAATTTCTGTTCATTTTGATTATTTTTGTCATCTAATTAGAGGATTTTTGTTATGTTTGCAGGCAGAAGGAATATTTCGTATAAACCCAGAAAATGGTCAAGAAGAACAAGTTAGGGACCAGCTTAACCGGGGCATTGTGCCAGACGACATAGATGTGCACTGTCTAGCTGGCCTTATAAAGACCTGGTTTCGGGAGCTCCCTTCTGGAGTATTGGATGGCCTTTCGCCCGAGCAAGTTCTTCAATGCAACAGTGAAGAAGACTACTTTGAGCTGGTGAAACAGCTTAAACCAATGGAAGCTGCACTTCTCAACTGGGCTATTGATCTTATGGCTGACGTGGTAGAGGAGGAGGAGTTAAATAAGATGAATGCCAGAAATATTGCCATGGTTTTTGCCCCAAACATGACTCAGGTATATGAAGGTTCTGTTTAAGTTTTTCGGCCAAGGCCCAAGGGTATAAGAAGTTTTTTGCTGACTGCTATATCACTTGTAAATTTATTTTGCGCAACACGATTAGCTTGGCATATTAGACTGACGCCCAAAATATAACAAAAAGACATAGTAGTATGAAGAAACTTCACTAGTTAATCATTAAAACTACTCATGAAGTTTGTTGTCAAGCACATTGGTTAATGATGAACAGTCTATCAATCTATTATCAAGCTAATCATCTCTGCTTGATATGCAGATGTCGGATCCGCTCACTGCTCTAATGCATGCTGTTCAAATCATGAACTTGCTCAAAACTCTTATAACAAAAACACTTAGGGAACGAGAAGAGGCTGTCACTGATGAGAACTATTCACCTATGTCATCCCGTTCCTCGGGCCAGGAAAGTGATGAGGAATATGACAGCCAGCAGGAAATGGATACGAGCTGTGAATCAAGAGGGCCTGGTTCTGATTGTGATGAATCTGCTGATTATAATCACGATAAAGAGTATGAACATGATGATGAAGGCGGTTCCTTAAGTGAAGTAGGCCGTGGTTCCTTGAGTGAAATAGGTGGTGGTTCCTCGAGAGAAATAGAGGAATGTTTCTTAAGGCAATTGGACCGAAACAAGATAACAAGTAATCGGACTGATGAGACAGAAATTCTAAATTCTGAAAGTAAAACCTGGATATACAGATCCAGTAGTGATGGGAATCTGTTTGAGTCAAGAAGCTTACCAGAAAGATATGAGAATGTAAAAGACGTTGAGATGGACCAACTAGTCGAGACAGCCTCTTCGATGCCCTTGCTTATGACCAGTTGACATGAGTGTAGACACTCTTTATCTTCTTATGGTAGCCTTTGAAGGTTCAATGGGCACTCAAGAGGGGGGGGTGAATTGAGTGTTAAGTAATCGTTGGCTAATTTTGCTTCTTTTCGGATTATGTGTGAGGAACCAGTTGTGCTGGTTCCCGTACGCAGCGGAATATAAATAAGCAATAAAGAAGACAACAAATTTAACGAAATAAAACAAAGCAATAAAGAACACAACAAATTTAACGAGGTTCAGCCAACTCAGGCCTACGTCCTCCTATCCTAAGTTCTTTATTAATCTACTCCGGAAAACAAAGACAAAGAACACTCTGCTGTTCCCTACTCCGGGAACCAGCAAACCCCACACTCTACTCCGAGTGTGCTCTCGACTTACACTCGTAAGCCCAATGTGTTTGAACTCACAAACACTCACCCAGCCTTTAACCCCTTTGTTAAAGACTCAATACAAGAATCAAGAACTCCCCTTTGATCTCACTTCTACGAAGCTAATTAAGAGAAAATATTTAAGTACTAGAATGCTCTTGTATATGACTTGATGAATGGGATTAGTGCTTAAGTATATGCTCTCAAATAATTGCTCTTTTAATTTCTGGAGAGGCACACGAAATATGTGAAATAAGATGAGTTTATATAAGCTTAGATTCCTAAAACCTAGTTTCCTTAAATCACACAATCTTAGAGAATAAGATATATTGTAATTTTAGGAAAGTATTTATCTTATTTGATTTAATCACAAAGATAGAATCAATTAAGATAAATACTCCTAGTTTTTAGGTAACCAAGAATATTTCATCTTATTTCCAGCTGCACAAAATATTTTCAAAATAATCTTTTCGAAAAAAATCTTTTTGTAAAATCTTTTTCCAAAACGGCAGCTCGAATACAGTGAACCTGGTTCCCCGACCTGGTTCCCTGAATTGAAACATGTTATGAAACCTGTTCCAACTTTGTACCAGATTTCATATCATACTTCAATATACTTTTAAGCACTTATATAACCCAAACATGCAAGCATACTACGGAGCATATTACATGAAAACCTAGATAACATATTAAAGCATAAATCGTCTTTTCTTCATGTAATCTTCAAGACTTGAATCTTCCTTGAATACTTCTATTATGAGCAAACAATCTTTCTTCGAAATATCTTCGAAAGGCTTCTATGCTCCAAGTCTTGGAATCAACTCAACTACTGCACATGTAACATGGTTAATGCACAATAAAGAGTATGTGACTGCTTTACCACGTAGCAACCATGGAAACAGTACATACTGGTTCCCTACCAGTACATAACACTTTTATCATATAACTGTTCCCTGTATAAAGACAAGTTAGTTCAATAAGAAAACTCATGTAAGTAATAACTTGTCTGGGGAAACAGTGTTCTATGTTAGCTGGTTCCCCCAACTGTATCGAACACTTTCAAGGACCTGTTTCCCTTAGCTGTTTGTCATCATTCAAAACTATCAATCAAAACCTAAGGGACTCAACAAATTCCCCCTTTTTGATGATGACAAACTTTTGAAGTTCCTGAACCTGTGAACATGCTCAAAAGGAAAACCGTCAAAAACTTCAAGGACTCAAGACAAGGACTCAAGACTCTTTGGAACAAGTCAGTTAGGCCAACTGGTTCCCTAAACATAAAATAGAAAATACGAAATAAAAAGACTCAAACTGACTCAATCTAAACTAGCTAAACCTTAGGCTTCAACTTCAGACTACTTCCCCCTTTTGGCATCATTAAAAAGTATCCACAAGTAAAAGCAATGTGCACAAGTTAATGTGCTTATCCATACAATGGCATCAACCACCATTCAAGCATTATGCTGCAAAAAGAGATTTAGTCAAACAGTTCATACCATAGCAGAGTTAGTAGTTCATACAAGCCAACAAAGTTCAACCAAAGAAGCCCAAATCCATCCAAAAAGAAAGTTCATGGAATGGAGAGAAGTAGACAAACCAACAAAATCAGTTATTTTAGAATAAACATGAGGGTGAGGAAACAAGAACAGAAACAGCATCACTCCTCATCATCATTCTCGTTCCCTTCCTCCTCCTCAAACTTTGCAACATCTTCTGTATTATCATCTGATTCCTCTTCATCTTTGTCACCATGCTCTGCTTAAACCAAAATCATTGTATTACTAAGCATATTCTTGTGATTCCCCAATCTGTTTCAAAACCACTTCCTGACCTGCTGGTTCCTCTATTTTTTTTTATTTTTTTTTATTTTTTTTTTTTTTTTTTATTTTTTTTTTTTTTTTTTATAAAACATGAGAGATATGTACTGATTCAGAATGTTCTCCTTGTTGCATAACGAGTGCAAAACTGTTCTCCTTGTTGCATAACGAGTGCAAAACTAGCATCACATCAATCAAGCAAAGAGGTTCTTGCTGGTACCCTTTTACTCTTGGTTCCTGGAACAGCGTCAATGGACTGTTCCTCCTGCACCTTCTCAGTGAACTTCTTTAATTGAGTTACTCTACTTCGTACCATGGTCTTAGCAGTGGGTGTCTCCTCATAATAACCAACAACCTCTATTTCATCCTTTTCACTCTGACTTTTCTGAATTTCCTCCAACTTCGGGCTTAAGGACATTTATGCTTCCTTCTGATGTTCCCCTTGAGACTGAGCTGGTTCCTTGAGTGAACAGTAACCGAATGAACAATGATGAATTTAAAGCATACGAGAGAGAGAAAGAGAATTTCGAGTGATGATGATTGATGATCTGCACAAAGGGTTAGTGTATATTTTAACAATGAAGCACAAAGAGAGAAGAAGGAAAGAAAAGAGTTAGTTGAGCCAATAAAAAGCAACTGTAAAGGATATTTTTTAAAATTGAAATCAACAATTTGGTAATTATCTTTTACCATAATTATCTCAACCAACTATAAATAAGGCATATGATATGTTTGCCTTTTATATGGGATTAAATAACTGAAATAAGATAAATTCCTTCCAAAAGGAAATATCTTATAGTAATCTTCCGAAAATAAAAGATATTATCGGATGACATATCAGAGCTGGTCTGCTGTTTCCCTTTGCTGGTACCTGTATAGAACCATGTCACGCTGTTTCTGGCAATTCAGCCTGATTTCACCTGTTTCTTACAACAATGATTCTCAATCCTTTTGAGATTTTGAACCATCTACACAACACTTGAAAGATATCAACATAAGTATGTACACACACTATACAAGAGAATACCATTCTAACCAATCATTGAAGGAAGTAATTGAAGCCAATACCTAAAATCTAACTAGACCTAAAAGGACTCTTAACCTACAAAAAGACTCTCTACACAAAGGCTTTGTGAAGATATCCGCAATTTGATCTTCACTTTTACAAAACAACATCTCCACCAATCCTTTTTCCACATTGTCTCTTAAAAAATGGTGTCTTATTTCAATGTGTTTTGTCTTGGAGTGTTGCACAGGATTCTTTGAAATATTGATTGCACTAGTGTTATCACAGAAAATAGGAACACTTTTATAAATAACACCAAAATCTTTCAGCTGGTTCCTTATCCACAGTAGCTGGGAACAGCATGAAGCTGCAGCTATATATTCAGACTCTGCTGTGGATAGGGCCACTGAATTTTGCTTTTTAGAACCCCATGAAATTAGACAAGAGCCAAGAAAGTGTGCCATACCTGATGTGCTCTTTCTATCAACTAAGAAACCAGCATAATCTGCATCTGTGTATCCAATAAGATCAATGGTACTGCCTTTGGGGTACCACAATCCCAGATTTGTTGTTCCTACAAGATACCTAAGTATCCTTCTAACAGCCTTCAAGTGAGATTCCTTTGGATTGCTTTGAAACCTAGCACACAAACCAACAGAAAACACAATGTCAGGTCTACTAGCTGTTAGGTAAAGTAGAGAACCTATCATTCCTCTATAAAGAGAAGCTTCAACATCTTTTCCCTTAAGATCAGCATCTAATTTTGTAGATGGGGGAACAGGTGTATCATAAGCTTTGCTGTTCTCCATGCCGAATTTTTTCAGCAACTCTTTTAAGTACTTTTGTTGATGGATCATTATTCCATCATCCATTTGCTTAATCTGCAGCCCTAGGAAGAATCCTAGTTCTCCCATCATGCTCATTTCAAATTCACTCTGCATAAGATTAGCAAATTCATCACATAAAACCTGATTAGTAGCACCAAATAAAATATCATCAACATAAATTTGTACTACAATCAAGTGTTTCCCCCTGGTTCTTATGAACAAGGTCTTGTCTACTGTTCCCCTCTTGTAATCATTTGCCATCAAGAAATTGGACAATCTTTCATACCAAGCCCTCGGAGCTTGTTTCAACCCATATAATGCTTTGTCCAACTTGTACACATGTTGGGGGAACAGTGCATCTTCAAAACCAGGTGGCTGCTCCACATATACTTCTTCCTTTAAATATCCATTGAGGAAGGCAGTCTTTACATCCATCTGAAACAGCTTAAAATTCATGTGAGCAGCATAAGCAATTAAAATCCTAATAGCCTCTAGCCTAGCTACTGGTGCAAACGTCTCATCATAGTCAATTCCTTCTTGTTGATTGTACCCTTGCACCACTAGCCTTGCTTTGTTTCTGACTATAGTACCAAGGTCATCTAACTTGTTTCTAAAGACCCATCTAGTGCCAATGACTGATCTTTCCTTGGGACGGGGAACCAGGTGCCAAACCTGGTTCCTCTGAAACTGATTTAACTCATCTTGCATAGCTAGTACCCAATCAGGATCAGTCAATGCCATTTTATAGTCAGTAGGCTCTACATTAGACAGGAAAGAATAGAAAGCACAAAAGTTTTGAAAAACATTTGTTCTCGTTTGAATCCCCTTATTTATATCACTAATTATTTGATCAGTGGGATGAGAAGATTGATATCTATAACTTTTAAAATTAAGACTGTTTTGTGCTTTCTCATTAAGTTGGGAACCAGCATGTTCATGGATCTCTCCTTCTTCTGAGGAGCCAGGAGGATTCACATTCATGCTGTTTCCTCTATCATTACTTACCTCAGGTTCA